GCTTTGATTTACGCCCTGGCTGTGGATCTGAAATAAGATCCAAATATTTTTGTCCAAAGTCTTTAAAGTACTTTTGGGATTCTGGAAAATGTAAACTTGATATTTGTAGGTTTTTTGTGTTGTCTCAAGAAATGATTTACTTCTGCTTTGGCTTTTAAAGCTTTTAAAGCTACATAAGGTACATAATCAGGTGGGTGGAAAGGCACATAATAAGATAGCAAACAAAACTTGTTACACACATGGTGGATCTCTTTGTTTTGGTGATAAATGATGTCACTTCCTCATTGGCTGCGTTGCCGTTTGAGTTGCTGTGTTTTGGCTCTTGGTGAAGAAAAACCTTGGATGTGTAGGAGATTTTGACTTCTTTTCTTTTCTCCACCTGTTAATGAAAGATCGAACAAAATAGATTTTTAAATGCATGTAATAATATATACGCTGACGTTTGCTTCAAATCTTTTTGAACACATCAACTCTTTTCTTGAATCGTTTGAGACTCAGACTGTTCTAATATGATTTTAGACCTTATATGAACCGTCTTCACCATCTATCAATAACTTGATATTTGAATAAGTAAAATATATATCTAGACTAATGTTGAATATTTTTATTTATGACACTTCCACAGAAAACTCAGTTTTCCAGTACGGAAGTCCTACCTCTGGATGTGGCCTTCGACTCTCCTCGCTCCTCCTCGAGATCAGCTCATCCTTCTTCCTTAGTTCCTCCTCCCTCTCTTTCTCCCTCCTTGCTCTCTCAGCTCGAATCATTTCTTCTTCACGCTCCTTCCTCCTCTCCATCTCCACCCTGTCTCTGTCTTCCTGCTCCTGCCTCTGGAGTTGGAGAGAAGTGATGGAGGCCTTCGTGCTCTTTATGGGCGCAGCTTTTTTTATCCTGTCTTCCTCTTCGTACTCGTCTTCGTATCCTCCCTGGCTGAGCTCCTGCAGGCGCTGCTGCCTTCGCCTCTCTCTGCGTTGGGTCCAGTCGCTGAAGCCTTCGTCCTCCTCCAGAGACTGAGAACCATTTGGCTTCAGGCTGCTGCCATACCTATGGAGAGAAGAGATGGAAAAAGAGTCAGGAAAGGCAAGATCATGAGATCCCAAACGTGTTTAACAAAATTCCAACCATCTGACATATCCCATTTGCATCCTAGTACTCAGGCTTTCAGTGTGATGTGTATTATAATAAAATACAACACAGCGTGAGACAAATTGAGCAACGCTTTGCTTAAACCGTGTTATTATGGATAAAGTGCCCATTAAGTCAGTTAAATCTATCAAATTTGCTACTCTGTGGTCTCTGTTAAAGTCTCTGTTTTTCCATTACTCAGCAGCTAAGTCAACAAACTAGCTGATTAGTTCCCAGCCGGGAACTTGGCTGATGTTCCTCAGGTTGCTCGATTCCACAATTTATGTCAAACCTCAAAACAGGGAATACAAGTTTGATACTTCAATAGCTCAACCCCTGCTTTGTACACCGCTCTATTAAAATTGAAAGAAAATAACGATGCAACAAGAATATCTTTAAATTAAATCTGGAGACAACTCCCCCTAAAAAAGAAGAAGAAAAATAGAATAGAATAGAATAGAATAGAATAGCCTTTATTGTCATTGTACAAAGTACAACGAAATTGGAGTGCCACTCCCTTGGTGCAAAATGCAATAATAAATATAAATGTAAAATATAAAAAGTACAATAAAACAACCGAAGTACTCAGACAATAATAAGTACGATATATACAGGATAGCAGCATAATATAATGATAGTATGAATAGCAGCATAATATAGTGACAATGGCAAGTATGGTATAGTTAAGCAGGTTCAATAGTTTTGTGCTTATTTACTACGGTGATAGCTCTGGGAAAGAAGCTATCCCTGAATCTGTTTGTCCTGGTTTTATGTGACCTGTACTAGGGCTGGGCGATATGACCCAAAATTCATATCTCGATATTTTTTACCTGGACGGCGATATAAGATATATATCTCGATATTTTTTTTTTAAGCCATAAAGTAAGAACAAAAAGAGAGTTCTTAGTCAAAGCTGTGTCCCAGATGTCACATGGGCACTTTTATTAACATAGAGCATAGATGTACATAAAATTTACTCAAAAATAAATTATGAGCATTTATTAAATAATAATGCTCCATAAATAAAGGAAAACAATGTTGTTTTTGTGCATAACAAAAAGCTCACAATTGTGCAGTCAAAATGTAAACTAAAAGACGC